TTTTTGCAACTTTCTATTATTTTGTTTTTTTTGCATTTTTTGCAACTTTTGATATTTTCTGATTTTTTTTGCATTTTTTTGCAATTTTTTTGCATTTATCAATAATTTTTGCATTTTCAGGTATATGGGTTGACCTGACCCGTTCTATCATGTGGCAATCTTGAGAGAGATGGTTCTCTCAAAAATGTTTTTTCAAATATACGGGTTGACCCAACCTGTTTTTGTCACGTGGTAGTCTTGAGAGAGATGATTGTTTCAAAAAATGTTTTTTTTTCCCGATACACGGATTGACCCAACCTGGTTTTGTCACGTGGCAACCTTGAGAGAGATGATTCTCTCAAAATTTGTTATTTTCAGGTAATACAGGTTGCCCTGACCCATTTTTGCCATGTGGCAGCCTTGAGAGAGACGTTCCTCTAAAAAATGTTATTTTCGGGTATGTGGATGACTTGTTTCTGCCACGTGACAATCTTGAGAAATGTTCTTAAAAATTGTCATTTTGGGTATATGGGTTGTCCCAACCCATTTTCGTATTTATAGGTGAGGGTAAGTGGGTCAATATGGGTGGGTGAGGGTGGATAAGGGTTAATATGGATGGGTCAAGTGAGTCCATATGGTTGGATCAGGGTTAGGGTGGGTTATAACTCTTTAACAATGATTGATGTTAGGTTATGGTGGGTTGGTGGGTCAATATGGGTGCCACCCATATTGCACACCATCCACCAGAATTATGAGATGCAACTAAATTTAGTTTTATAAACCCATTAAAAATAATTTAACGGGATCATCTTATTATTAAAAATAATTTAAGGGAATCATCTTGTTACTATTCTCAATCTCAGAAATAATTTAATGGGATCATCTTATTATTAAAAATAATTTTATTTACTTTTTTCCATATGAATCATAAAATAAAAACACACTTTTCAAGATAGAAGCTCCCTTTGGCCAAACCAGATGATGCACTAAAGATCAACAGCATGAGAATTGAAGTATTGAAAGAGGTTAAAAACGGGAGAATGAAGATTCAGTCCAGGGTCAGAATTCTTAGGCCCAAAGTAGAATTGGGGTAGGTGCCAATTTATATGCGGGCATTAATACATAGAGTGGGGGTTTTTGACATTTTGAATTTTTATAAATCTGCAATGAACCTATCCGTACTTTTCTAGGTTAAAAACATAGAAAAGGGACTCATTATTTAGGGTGCGTTGCCAATGTCTATGATTTATGTTGTTTCAAAAGACTACTAGCATGGTGGTCGATATATATTCACACTTCAATTATGGTCCATTATATTAATATCCTTTACCTTTTATGTCATGAGATCAAAAATATTCCATAGTTGATGAATATAATTCTCTTGCACTAATTTCTCCAAATAAATGAAATGCAAAATCAGCTTGAAAAGGTCAATTTCCCAAGGTCATAACTCGATCTGTGTGTGATGGAGCAGTCAAATTTGAGACGATTCATCATCATCTATCGAAGCCATGGTCGATGACCCAACCAGTTGGGAATACGATATGATGTAGCAAAGAGCACAATATGATGTAATATATATTTATAGCTCAAAAAATTAATTTCATTTTTAATAAATTAGTTTTTAAAAGTAGGATTCTTAGTACATAACCTATATCAATTAATTATTGTTTCTTTTTCCTTTCAATTTTGTTTTTTGATATTTTGTTAAAGGGTTCAACTATGATACGGAAAATTTATGATATTTTGTTAAAGGTTCAATTATGATATGGAAAAGATATGATATCCAAAAAACATTTGATCAATTAACTGTAATCGTAAACAGATGTTATTGATCAAAATTCATGGATGGATTTTGATTGGTCAAAATTCTTTTCATACCACATCTTTCCCGCATCATAGATTTTCTCTTTGTTAAAATGTGTGTGAGAGAGAGAAGAATCAACACCCTTTGATTCCTGAGCGATACCTAATTCTTGTACGGTGGGTTGCACCGGTAGACCACCACTCTTTCCCAAAACCTGCATAACGTTAAGCTTGTCTACTTTTTGCTTCGTTATTTCCAAATTACATACATTTCTCCTTTCGGATGTCACTTTCCTTCCCTTTTTCAACCCAAACAACCAACCTTCTTTTGTAAGATGATAATTTCTATCCTACTTGATGGGTATATGGCTTTTTCTTACCTGAATGATAGATTTTGGCCAGAGACGGGTTTTGAAATTCTACAGCGCGTCTAAATCCAAACTTTCCTGACCCACGTATTGTTGGAAAGTATATAAAACCTATGTATTAACTGTTAAATTTAGTAATATTTCGAATTTTATATGAAGAATTATTAATAGTTTATGTGTTTTTTTATATATTTTAATCAAATAATTTCTTATTTGTTTTTACTATTTATATATAACAAAAAATAATAGGAAGTTAGATGTGGGTTTTAAACCCAATCCGCCCTATGCTTGAATGTGGAGAAGGTTTTTGTATTTTTATGTGTAGGAAAGATTTGAATTATCAAAATCCAACCCCTATGGGTTTTGGGGTGAATACTGATTAGGAGGTGGATGGGATATGGAATTTACAAAACCCTCCTTGTTACCATCCCTCCTCACTTGGGCCACTCCATTTCTTTCAATAGGTAGAGGTGTATTGGTATATGTGCCCAATACAAGGCATCTCATATTGAAATTTTGATCCTTGATCCAAATTACTAGACTACCCAATCTGAATCATCATGGTCCAAAGTTCGCTTTCACTACAAAGACGGTTATAGTGTTGGAATAAAACCTACAACGACTTTGATGCAATGTTTTCACCCGACCGGTCAAACCGTTCGAATTGTCTCCCGATTAGTATTCATGGTCTGGTTCAATCAAGACCTGTTAGATGGTCAAAACTCAAAGCGTTGACTTGGTCAAGAACCATTCGACTCGGCCGGTTCGACCATTGACCTGTTCAACATAATGATCGGGTCACGGGTTGCATACTCAATGCATGTAAACTTTCGGAGGCTATAACTTTGCACTCCAATGTCTAACTAGGGTGATTTTTTTTTTATTTTGAGTAACTTTTCAAGATCTATGCATCCCAAGGCGTCATAATCCCCTACAATTTTTGCGAAAAAACCCCTTTTTTGGCCTCAAATTGCAATTTTTATAAATAAAAAAAATTAAAAAACTGAATTAAAAAACATAAATTAAATACAAAATAATACATATAACATATCTAAAACATATTTATACATTATTTACTGTTAAAATATATATTTGTAGACATACAACCTGGCCAGTCGAACTGGTGACCCACGACCCAGAGGCAAAAGCGGTTTGGCCTTCAGGTTGGTTTTTAAAACAATGCTTTGATGTAATACAGTGGACAATGGCCCCATTAAGACCTTACTTCATCTAATTCAATAGGGATATAGTAAGACATCAAAGGCCTTTAGCCTTGATTTCGTTGTTTTAGGGCTATACAGTGCCGTAACAAATGTGGGTTGGGTTTATTATTATTAAGGGGGCATTCTGTAGTGTTGATGAAAAATTGGTGGGTGTGGACTGGTCATAAATGTCTAATTTTTGCATTTTTATATGATAAATATATTGAAAAAGGTATTGATAAATTAATATTAACCAATAAATATTAGTTTTAATAAAAACAATAATAAAATAATTAAAAAAATATTTTAGATATTAAAAATATTATTTTATTGATAGAAACATTAAAAATTAATATTTAAATAAATAAAAAAGAATGGAGAAGGAGCATCCCTATAGTTGTGCTAGAATTAAAACTAAAAAATATTATTTTATTGATTATATTAAAAATTAAAATTAAAAATTATTATTTTAAAATATAAAATTAAAAAGAAAGAAAAGTATGTAGAAGAGATGTATTGTATCAAAATAGAGTGTGGAAATGCTGTGGACCGGCCACATCGACAAGAAATATGCATGGCTGAGATTTTGGGTTGTGGACAGGGACAGTCTATGATACAAGATTGGTCTCATCCACGACCAACCGAAATGGTCCATCCACGAGATGAACACATTACCAAATGCCACTTAAAACTCTTATATTGTAGAACAACCCTTTGATGTATGTGTGCGTTGTTCCTAGAATGCAATCAGGCTTATGCCCATTTCATTTGCTAGCAAAAAATTCTCTCTCTTGGGTTTGGGTATCCATAGGCATCGGATCCACTTGACACAACATAGGAAGCACATTCAATGAACACTTTATTAATATTCTGACAATTGTTAAAAGTTGTCATTAATCTTTTTAAGGGTTGGTTGGGGGTATTTTAAAGTACAGGTGTCAAAATAATTTTAAAGTGCTCATTGAACATGCTTACAATTCCGTGTCTATCTGATCCGAACTCGTATCCATAATCCATGTATATCTAATTCTCTAAGGCCTCGTTTGATTTCTAGGAATAGGGGTCTGGAATCAGAATTGGAATGGACTATTCTGATTCCAACGGTTTGGTTGGGCGAGACCGGAATCCCATTTCTATATTTGCTAGAATGGAATTTTCTTGGGAATGAAATCTCATTCTTATTGATTCTCATTCCTGTATAAACCAAACAGACTATAAGTATAGAATGGGCCAATTCCATTCCGATTTCAATTCCGACTATGAACCAAACGAACCCTAAGATCTATTGTGCTGAAAGGGAATATCGAAAAGTTTGAGGGCAATCTTTGTCATTTGAAAAGATAGAGAGGTTTAAATAAGGTCTAACATCAAAATATTCTCGTGCCGAATTTGAATTTCCGCCACACCACATGAAACTAATTAACCTTGCTGCCTGACCCTGGTTATGTCTTAAAATCATAATGATAACACTTTACATTAACCCATGCTCTGCTCTCTGCCTATCTCTTCTCATCTTCCTTCCTTAAATCCCCACCACTGTCATCGTCCCCATACAGAAAATCGGAAGCGGTACTACATTTTCTGATTTTCTCCTCATTTATGCTACTTTTTCCTCCCCCTCTTCTTGATCTTGTTCATCCTTCATCCATCTTCAATTCAATCCACCATAATGATGAATTCTAAGTTGGCTGCACTTCTGCTGAAGCAACTCGGCTCAGCGACTGTTCGGACGGTGATCATGGAACCTTTAAATGGAATCACGACTGAGTCTTCCTGTTTTCTTCATGCCAGCGGGTCTGTTGTGCCGGGGCGAAGAACTTGGATCAGGTTTTCCGGTCTGGGTGTACGTAACGGGAGTACCTCGGCTTTGAACAACAAAGAAAAAGAAGAGAAGGGCGTGCGAACCAGTTCCACCGTGGGCGGTGCCAATCGCCCGGAGGATAAGATGATTGTGAGCTATTGGGGCATGCCTCCGGCTAATCTCACGAAGCAGGACGGCTCGGAATGGAAATGGAACAGCTTTAGGGTAAGTCGTAACAGTTTACTCTCCATGAATTAAATGGTATTATTTTAGCATTTGTTATAATTATTTCTGTCATACAGCCATGGGAGACTTATAAGGCAGACCTATCGATCGATCTGAAGAAGCACCATTCACCCGTTACGTTCATGGACAAGTTGGCTTACTGGACCGTCAAAGCACTCAGATACCCAACTGACATTTTCTTCCAGGTATCTTTCACTCGGGAGAGTTGAATTGATCTAAAAAGAATGGCAATGCCTTTAACTTGTGGTTCAAATTTTTTTTTTTTTGTGTGCAGAATCGGTATGGTTGCCGGGCAATGATGCTGGAGACGGTTGCCGCCGTTCCGGGAATGGTCGGAGGGATGCTCTTGCACTTGAAGTCCCTGAGGCGATTCGAGCATAGTGGGGGTTGGATTAAGACTCTGTTGGAAGAAGCAGAGAACGAGCGGATGCATCTGATGACGTTCATGGAGGTATCGCAGCCCAAGTGGTATGAGCGAGCTCTGGTCGTCGCCGTTCAAGGAGTATTCTTCAATACGTACTTTCTGGGCTACTTGATCTCTCCCAGATTCGCTCACCGTGTGGTGGGGTACCTGGAAGAGGAGGCCATACACTCCTACACCGAATTCCTCAAGGAATTGGACAAGGGCAACATCCAGAACGTCCCGGCTCCGGCCATCGCCGTCGATTACTGGCAGTTGCCACCCGACTCCACTCTTCGCGATGTTGTAATGGTCGTCAGAGCCGACGAGGCGCATCACCGCGACGTCAACCACTTTGCTTCTGTAAGCATCTTATTTTCATTTTATTAATCGCGTTCGCAACTTAACTAGGAAATAAGGTTGCGTTTGGATAAGTTTCAGAGTTCGTGTTTTTAAAACCCAAATTTTTATTGGTGGGGGTTTTGTACTTTTAACTTTTGGTTTAAAAACTTTATTCCTTTTAAAATTTATCTTTTTAAAATCAAGTCTTATTAATTGCCCCAAACACTTTTTGACTCATTTTTGCTTCACATATCTCAATGTTTTCCAATTGGAAAGTAAGGTTGCATTTATGTTTTCAAAGCCCAAAAAAATTGTTTTGGCTTCAGATTACAATGTTTATAAAGCAACTCTTACAAATTGCTCAAAACACTCTTTTGTTCTACTTAGTTTCTCCTTTTTCATAGTCCAAAGCTCAAAAATAAAAACTCATCCAAACAGAGCTTAAATCATCAATTGAGACTGAGAATTGATGAAATAGTGCTTTGTTAATTCTTAGAGTTTGAATTGCAGGACATACACGACCAGGGATATGAGCTGAAAGAATCACCAGCCCCTCTTGGGTATCACTAGATCCGAATTAATGAAGGAGATAGTCATCTATATTCTATATTTGATTGTACATTAATTAATGCTTAAAAAAAAGAATATCATACATGTCTTTTGTTTGTTTTAGTAAGAATATAACTAAATCTATTATGGTTTTTAGATATAATTAATATTTTATGTAAGAACCTTTTTGCCAATCTAGCAATTTTATGGGCGTTTGAGACAATGATATTGGCTTCCATTTTAGTGATTCTCATTAATTTTCAGTAATCATAATTAAAATCATGAAAAAATTGTTTGTGAAATATCATGCTGGTTTGGTAATTTAAAACAATTCCTTGCTTTGGTTGCAGTGCAATTTTATTTGCATTAATATAAATGCATCGGAGTATAAATGAAAAGAATGCAAATTCTGGTTTAATTTTGCTTTGAGTTTTACTCTATTCTGTTTGAGGTCTTATTTTACTTCATTTTTACTGCAATCAAATAAAATAAAGTAAAATTTAAAATAAAAATAAATTAGAATTTGCATCCAAATCATTTACACTACCATAGGTTTGTATTAGTATAAATAAATTTGCATTGCAACCAAGCACATCTTTGGAAAATTAGTTGCTTTTACAAGACATACAAGAGAGGTGTAACGTGGGCAAGATGATAATGGATTGGACCACACCAGACTTAACACATGATAAATGATATAACTTAGACCAAGGCCCGGCTCGGCCTGTAGATCAGATTTATAATTTTTAAAATATAAGCTCAGTTTGGAAGGAGCACAAATATAAATGTGTAGAATGTAAAATCTTTTATTTTATATTATTTTGTATGTATTTATATAGTATATATCTGTATATTTATATACTTTCCAAACTGGGCACCATAGGATTCAACTATGGTACCAGAAAAATTTATAACCAATTATCTAGTATCATAAAATTGGTTGGTAATATTGGATTGGACCAAATTTAGTCTAATTGACAGTCCTAATTGCCAGTCATCCATTAGTAACATCTATGCTAACAGTTTTGGGAACCTACACTGGTGGTTTATGAATACCGGCGCAGTTTTTTTGAAGAATGAAAATGAGCAACATAAGACACTTGTTAGACTTTTTAGGTATTCCATGTCATGCACCATTAATAGCTTCCCCCTTGACCCCTTTTTCTCCCAAAGTATTGATTGTGGGATTCGTTTCCGCGTCAACACTGGAACAAACCAATTAACACACCAACAAGCCAGCCCTGGGTTGGTGAATATACAGAACTAAAAATAGCAGCAATAACAAAAAAATAATAATTTCTTGAAATATGCTTATAAGTTTTGATAAAATCACATCATGAACCATTTTTTTTTTATAAAATCATGAACCAATTTCGATCATAGACAGATAGATTCCAAAATATTTTTATAAGTTTTGAAAAATTGGGCTAGAAGTAGAGGTATAGTTTGTGTTAGCTTAGCTCCGGCCAAACTCAAAAAAGTTTGGTTGGGTAGAATTGGTTCAGGTTAGGGTTGAAAGGTAGGAGCCTGACCAGTTGACATAACGTGAGCCCAACTTCTATAGTACATAAATCATATATTTGTCTTGGATTTTGTGTAAGTTATAAAAAAGGGTTTTTTACTGTTCAGTCCATCTCCAGAAATCTTAACTCCATCTTATATTTGGGTGTCAACTCAGAATTGATGCAAATTTACCGGTGGATATGGGTGTTATTTAGGTAAATACATTTATTCATGTAAATATTTTTTGAAAAACACTTTTACAAATAAAAATATACAATAACCGATTTATCCAAATAAATGATACTATTGAAAGTACACTATTGTCCCATCACTAATTAGCTATTTTCAACACGTATGGATAAAAAATTTATCCAAATCTAAGGAAAGCATTACTTCCCCACTTAAATGAGCTGCTCTAGTATTATTTTTTTCCACGTAACCCACTAATACCAGAAAACGAATATATCATACACCATGGGACCTACCAACTTACCCGCCCCTACTTTCTAAAAAATTTATGAGGCCCAAATATTATATATCATACATCATGGGTAATGTTTACATGCACACATGCTCTTACATTATGTCTTAGACATGAATGCATATGGATCCATGAACCTATATATTTGACAAAAATTTTGTAGTTGAATAAGTATAGTACTCCTAAAACACTGACTACCACTCCACCTTAATCTACTAATTTTAAGTCTCGCGAAATAAAAATTAGTAAAAGGAGATGAGTAAATCAGGTCAACCTGATCTTAATCAAATCCAAAGTCATTGAGTCAGGACTTCAAAATTCAGATTGGGTTATCAATATATGTTGGGGATTTATCAATGTCTTGTCACATTACACCTCAAATAGCAATTGTATGCAAAATTGTAACCCAAAACATTTCAAATAGAAACAGTAATGTTATCAAATACAAACCTTAGAAAACAAGAGCAAATTGCAAATCTTGGAAAACAAGGGGAAATAATGGGATGGTTAAGATATACATGGATATAGTAGGAAACTACACATAAATCTTAGGGTAAAAGATTTAAGCCTCCCCTAAGATTTCACCTAAATATTGAATTAAACATCCCCTAATTTTTCAAATTGGACTTAAACCTCCCTTCTTGGCTAATATAAGTGGACAAAAACCTCCCATCCATCAACTCATCTCTGTCCACATTTGTCAACATGTGGATTTAAGTTTAAAAAAATATCTCAATTTTGCTCGTAATATCTCTTTGATGAGTTGGATAAAAAGAATTTTACATGCATCATTGTTCTTCAAATTCTCTAAGAGAACAAACTGCGGATTTACATGAGTTCTCTCTCTCTCTTCTATGACTTTTCATTTGTTTATTGATTTGAACAAACTACGGATTTACAGGTCATACATTAATCGCACAAATTACTTAGAGGTGTAAATTGGATTGTGCTGTCTACGGCCGAGCCCAATTGTTCACGGGCCATGTCGTGGCATGTCACGATTGTATGGGGTATTTATGTGTTTTGGCTTTGGGGGGAGATAAAATGACAATAATGTCCCCCTAACAATTATATAACAGTTAGTTTAGGGGGGTATTTAGGTAAAGTGATAAATGACTTTATAATGAAAAAAACTATCCAGTCCCTACCGCCATAGTAGGTGATCTACTAACCCCTCTTGTGTCTACAGTTCTATCGGAGTCTTGTTTTAGTGCAGGTACTAAGGTGCTAAGCGACAAGAGAAGCTACATGAACTACGAAAGTCTAAACATGTGCATTTACCTTAAAGATTGATTGGATGTTGAGAATATATTACAAGACAAAGGATGACATGATGTTACACCTGATATTTCACCTAAAGTAGATGTTGAAAATCAATGAGATGATAAGATGAAGATGCTAGTGGAAGTGGAACTTGAAGAAAAATGATGAAGTCAATATTTTTTATTTTTTTTGTATACTCACTATTTCAATTATTATAATTTTTTCCATTTTTAAAATCATTGTAATTTTTCAATTTTATTAAAATTAGTTGTTATTTTTCAACAATGTAATTTTTTATTTTCAATTTATAATTGTATTATATATTTTATATTTTGTTCCATTTTCTATATTTTATTCATCCATTGACCATTGTATTGTTCAAATTCAAGAAATAAAAGTCCTATTTTTTTTCCAATTTGTTGTCCATTTTGTATTTTGTTAAGTATTTAAGTATTTTTTTCATTTCTTTGTTAGATTTTTTATTTTTCCAATTTGTTCCTATAGCTCAAAGGAATTAAGGAAAGTGAAGTATTTTACTTCTAGTGTTTACTTAGTAAAAAAAATAAAAAAAATATCAAAATGTAAAAAAAAAACAGTTTGGCCCGATACGGCCCAGGCCCAAGGTCCAGACCGTAGCCTAGCTTAACATGGGCCAGTCCCAGGGCATGGCCCGCAGCCCGCAGCATGACACAACAACCTAACACTGTCTTGCACGGGCTCAAGCCGTGGGTGATGTCAAGCCGACCCCCCGTAGTATCCTTGGGGAGGGAAGCACAACCTTGCTCAACCTGATTTACACCTCTAAAATTATTTTGAAAGGGGCACCAAACCCGAAAAGCCAGAACCACACCATGTTTACCTCCACAATTAGTATTTGTTTTAATGGAGAAGAAAATATACTTGTATGACGCTACTAGAACTTTGTCCACAATATGATGATGGATTTTTTCTCTAATTAATCTAATCCCAGATTTAACCAAGGGATATGTTAGTCATTTTTCTTCCTCCATTAGAGATAATGATTTATAAATATGTGAGGGGAGGTATATGTCCAATTTAAAAAAGTGGGGATGTTTCAATATTTAGCTGAAATCTTAGGGGAGATTTAAGCCTTTTACCCTAAATCTTACAAATACATTAATAATCTATATATACTATTATTAAAAGTTGGGAATGAGAGTGTGTAACTTTTGTTTAGCTAAAATACCCAAATTTTTTAGTTTGGTCCCTCCCTCAATGTAAGGGAAAAATATAATTTGGACAATCACTTTCCTCATTCAAATCTCTCACTTTAAGTTTTATATTTAAGGTATTAACCCATTAACATTCATTGAATCCTATACTTGACTAGAACGCTCCTATTTTTGGATTTGGTTTGTGAGGGCACAAAATGTAATTTGAACTACTACATTTCTCATCATTCCTCTCATTAAGTTTTAAGGTATTAATTTCTATTCTTTCATTGAATCTTATATTAATTGACCATATTAAAAAGAATAAATGTGACAAAGAATATTTATTTTTATTGATGATAGAAATAAAATGAAAATTAAATCCAACCCAAAAAATAGAGCTTCTTTTGTTTATTGGCGAGACAACAATTCAACCATTGGGTCAAATGTGTAAATCCTTGAAGTCATAATAAAATAATACTAAAAATTAAAAAAACATACAAAAATATAAAAAACAAAAAATTGTTAAAAACATTTGTACACATCTCTAACATTTGTGATAAATAAGAATAATTTTTATAAACATACAAATGTAAAAAACTTGTAAACATATTATTTACTATCATCATCATCATAAAAAATTGTCACATGCACACTTACTAGTACATTATAAAGCTCAATTGG